GGCCATCGCTTTCGAGTCATAACAAAACCTGTGCAGTAGTCAATTTCTATCTGTATCTGTATCCTTTAGATTCCTCCTAAGTAGTAGAACCTCCAGGGTCTGGAGTAGTAACTTATTTACAGAGCCTAGACATATTGAGAGAGCAACTGGTTAAGACCACGCAACGTATACAGCTAATAAGCACTATGTACACATTAGCAGCAACCAAACAAGCCTATTTAAGGCAGGAGGCGGGAGTGTCTCTAACACTGAACCACAAATCACCACATTTAATAGGTTAAAATGTCCTTTTAGAAAATTTCTCATAACGATTAGCGAATACGTCTGCTTTTTGCCTGGCGAAGTAAATTGAACCGTTTAATGTGCAACGAAAAGCAGAGGCTCCTGGCGTGAAAGTTCACACGGTCGCGTGCCCCGTCATCATTACGCGTTTTCACATTGATCACACGGCTGCTGTCTATTATTATCTGCACCATGTCGAGTGCTTCAGGCCTAATGCCTTGAGGTGGTTTTAATATCTGAATTGCCTTCGCTATTCGTACAAGAGAACGATTCCTAACTTCTTGTAATGATTCACACTTGAGTAGAAAATGCTCCTTCGTTTCATCCTCCTTTTCACATAATATACAGGTAGCCTTAACCTTTTTCTGGTTGAAAGCACATCGGTTTGTTTGTAGAACATAGGTGTCTGTTGCCAACAATAGTCACGTTTGTAGCCTAGTTACGTCTCTTGGGTTAACAGGAAATGTATACAAGATGGGATGCCGAGATCCAGGTATGAACGCCTTCACATTTAGATGGCGAAGGCTCCGATAAGCGCTAGCTTTCTCGGTAATGGCATCCTTCCAATGAGAGTCAATAGCCTTCCTCACACTCTACTTCCATTTCCTTGTGGACTGTGGGTGTTCCAGCGTGTATAAAGGATCTGGTAGGTTGGACATTCTAGTATACTTTCCGAGTTCCTGAACCAGCTGTTGGAGGATTCATCCTTAAGGAGAAGCTGTCTCTAAGCAATTTTCCTCTCCAGGCTAGTTTGGGGACGCCGAGCCATCGCTCCGTAGTGAATAAGGACTCTCTGATGAAGTAGAGCTTCCTCGGGGAGAATCCCTGTCACCACATATATTGCTGCATCCGCCGTAGTTACCGGAAGAGACAGGGCCTGCTTAAGGATCTTTTTTCAGGGAAATGTCAAGTCTCTTCAATTGTTGTCCTTTTGGGAGACTGATTTCCAGCCCATAGATTCCTCCGGGTAGATGTAGTCTTGTGCACAGTAGTTACCGACTCAGGCTGCAAACTTATCTCGTTGAGCAGCTGGTCACCAGTTCCCACACAATCTGTGAATATGTTGTATTGGGAAGTTACACTCTAGTTTAGGCCATATCTCCCTCACATATCCTCCCCACCTAGTAACTTTCTTAATTTGTTGGTGCATTTTGCAACAGTTCATGGGGCCCCCTTTATGTGTATCGAGCCTCATATTGGTATGTCCTGGAATCAAAACTTAACCATTTACATAATCATTCGAAGAGGTGTATACCGACATATGACCTATGGTACATGTAGCAGTGCACAGTAGCGTACGGTGGCCATGTGTGATATTTTTGTACAATGAATAACCCCTGTAATATTACATGTATCAAAAGTTAAAAAAATAAAATCGGCTCTAAAATTTGCATGTTCATGATGAAATTGGACTATGTGGGCTTCACATTTAAAAAAACAAAAAATCGAATTTGGTTTGAGATATCATTTTTGGCCATTTACGAATCTGTGTCTACACAACAAAAGCTAGCTTTTCATGTAGTCTATTTTTGTACTCAGCACATGTGTAAATATTGTGAAAAATCTAGTGAGACGACATATGCTAAAACGTGAGTATCTGTGACCGAGTAGGGGATATTTAATTTAAGACAGGTTTTAAGAAAAAAAATACTACTTGCGTGGGTCAAATTTTGGGTTAAAAATCATGTTTTTTGCATTTTTTGGCGGTTTTTGATGTGGTAACCTTGGTTTTCACAAGTCCCAAATCTGAGGAAATCTCTTTTTGAAAAAATATTCATTCTTAAAAAAAACACGTATTCAAAATGTAGTTTATAATATATATATACATTATGTATGTAGTTGTGTTGTGCAGGATGAATCCGCTATCCATGTTTATCCGAGACATGCCCCTTATTTTTAGGGTAAAGCCATTTCTACTGTACTCTGCTACCATATACAGACAGACATTGATGCTTGATTTTTATGCTTAATTCAACATCACTTTCATTCAATATTGCTTAAAACTAACGTTTAAAAAGTTACAGATATAGGTCAATGTATAGGTCACTCGTCCTCTTCACATGCACTTCACAATTCATCACATATGTATCAATTGTGTAATCGGTAAAGTTGATACCAAACATCAAATAGTTCACAGGCTATCTTTTTATGCATTCCGACTAGATTTCAGTCTGTTTCACTCAGTTCATGACCCGGTATCTATGGTTAGTGATAGATAAAGTTGTATATGTTGAAAATGGGTAACATATCTGTTTTCATTCTAATTACATTATTTTAGATATTTTTTCCCCACTTGATTCAGCATACAGATTAAATTAGCAAAGTCAGTAATGTCAATTAATTTTATTTCCATAATTACAGCTGAAGATATTTTTTTCTAGCAAAATATGTTAATTTCTGAGGATCGCTGTCAATTCTAGGCGATGAAAGTAAACAACGGTTGCTATAGTGGCACTTGTCTGATGTTTCAGAATATCTGACATTTTGGTGCTGTTTATCGGTTACGGGAAGTATTTCTGTTGCTAGTTTGTTGTTGTGATGAGTTTCCTAGTGCTCATTTTGATATCAGTGAGCCTTGATGATGTCATAGGTGCCCATTGATGACGTCATAGTTATGATGACATCACAGGTACTATGACGTCATCAAACAAGACAGACACATCATAGTATCACTGTACTGTTTTATTTTTCACATGCACATGATCTCAAAGCATCATATTTCACACAAAAATAAATTTTATTCATGAAAACTACAAACCTATTCAAGTTTAAATTTTTCAGATTACCTCCCTTTATTGGTAGTTTGAGAGCAGAATTGGTATAAATGCACCTGTCAAGAGAATTCATATTACTCGGTCACTTTTAAAGTGAGAAAGGAAACGGATACATCTTTTTGTTCATTGTGTCATTTTTTCATACCTTTAAAAGGTTTTGATTAAATTTTGGGAAAAAGAAAGTGATGTATAAGGTAGCAGTGTAAAGTAGCGTACGGTGGTCATGGGTGATATTTTTGTACAATGGATAACCCCTGTAATAATATTATTAAAAATAATAATATACAACATTTGATATAGCGCCCTATCTAGCTAACATAAGCCACTCTAAAGCGCTTTACAGTACATAGATATGCAATTTTATACAGTCAACACAATTAGCATATATATTAATCAATATAATATTGAGGAATTCGCAGGAGCTGCCTTATCAGGCGCTAACTACTAGTCCTATGCCACCTGGCTAATATCTCCCTATCAGTGTATGCCTGTGTGTGTGCTGGAGATGTATTGAGTTCTCTTTGTAGTGGGACCGTGCTTCCAACGGTATAATTTAGAGTGCCACCTCACTTGAATGCTACAGCACAGATACCGCAACACCCACCCCAGACCATTTTATACTCCACCTGGGTTGTTGGAGTTGTGTGGGCAGTAGAAAAAAACTTTCTCTAATATTCCATGCGTGCGGCGACCTCGGGGATCGAACCCCGGCCGCCTGCTTGGAAGGTCGGAGTGTTAACCACTCGACCAATCCGCCCAATATTGCATGTATCAAAAGTTTAAAAACATCAGCTCTAAAATTGGCATATACATGATAAATTGGACTATGTTGGATTCAAATTTAAAAAATAAAATCGAATTTGGCTTGAGACTACATTTTTGGCCATTTATGAATCTGTGTCTACACAACAAAAGCTAGCTTTTCATGTAGTCTATTTTTGAACTAAGCACATGTGTAAATATTGTGAAAAATCTGGTTTGACGACCTATGCTAAAACGTGAGTATCTGTGACCGGGTAGGTGATATTTAATTAAAGACAGGTTTTAAGAAAAAAACACTTTTTGCGTGGGTCAAATTTGGGGTTAAAAATCATGTTTTTGCATTTTTTGGCGTTTTTTGATGTGGTAATCATGGTTTTCACAAGTCCCAAATCTGGGTGAATCACTTTTTGAAAAAGTATTCATTCTTCTAAAAAAAACGTATTCAAAATGTAATTTATAAATATATATATGTAGGTGTGTTGTGCAGGATGAATCCGCTATCCATGTTTATCCGAGACATGCCCTTTATTTTTAGGATAATGCCATTTCTACTGTACTCTGCTACCTATGGCAAAATCCTTGTTGACCTAAAGACATTTGTGACACACGTGCACTGCTGATGGTGTGTAGGAAATGTATGTTTCACTCTCTACCAATAGGCACTAAGGAGATATTTCAACAGTCATATAATTATTCATTCGGAAGTCAACTCTTTATTAATGAGCCCAAAGCTTCTTGAAGCTGTAGTTGTTGTTATTCCCCGGAGGAAAAATACATTTCAGACTATTGCCAACACAGACATTAGATTAGAGTAAATATTCGTTCACATTATTTCCAGGAATTTTAAATGGTGTTTATCCTGCATCTCAACTGACTGTTTTGTGTTCGTTTTTCCTAAAATGTTACATAGATAATTTTAGTTTTACTATATATATGTCCTTCATATTAATTTATAAAACGCTCTAGAGCAGATAGATTTAGCAGGATATGACGCTGTATAAATGGCTAATATAATATATATTTATTAATTTTGATCGACTTTAATTAAATTAGCATTTGGTTGATTGCAAGGGATAGGGAAAAACAAGTGAACACAAAAAAGAGAAGAGAATAGCTTTTGAGCAGACATACCCCGTTTGATCGAATATTCATCCTATTATATTTTCTTTTTGTTTTGATCAGGTATTGGAGCGTGTCTGGTATACACACCGTCCGTTGTCATCGTTGGCCGGTATTTCAACATGAGGCGGGGTCTAGCCGTCGGCATAGCAACCTCCAGTTTCGGATCCTTTCTCTTTCCGACCTTGATTGAATTTTTGTTCGACTATTTCGGATTTGTTGGTGCTTTCCTAATGTTAGCCGGAATAGCGTTGAATATGATGGTTTTTGGTAGTGTGTTTAGACCACTAAAACTGCTTGAACCACCCAAAAGGTACTGAATGTCATAACCCAATCATATATAATTGTTAATCTCTGTTGTATGTTGTGATATGTAAATGTTCATGTTCCTGTCTTGATTAAGGGACGGATTGCCCCGAAAATTTGACAAAGTCTGGGTCTGTACTGTCGTTATTACTTCTTTGCCCATATATCTATTTAAGTAACACGCATCCAACCAACATTTGTTTGTTCGGATCCAGTACCAATATTGGATCATCACTTCGTTATTATTTATGAGACCTATATGTATACAATGAATAAGAATTAATTTTAATTTGCTTTGTTCTTAACAATGTAACAACATGTAAGGGAAAACAAACGCGTTAACACAGAAACTGGACGGCTGTAACTCACTAACAGTGTGTACACCTTTATGATCCCGTTAATCCAATCAACATAAGTATATAGTCTACTTGTAAAACAAACCTTGTGCAGCTCATCTGGAAAACTCAGGATTCGCGAAGATTCGGTGATGTATTGTAACGGGAGACCACTCTAAAAGAGTTCGTTATTCGTAAAGATTCGGTGATGTATTGTAACGGGAGACCACTCTAAAAGAGTTCTGTATTCGTGCAGATTCGATGATATATTGTAACGGGAGACCACTCTAAAAGGTCTCGGTATTCGTGAGGATTCGGTGATGTATTGTAACGGGAGACCACTCTAAAAGAGCTCGTTATTCGTTAAGATTCGGTGATGTATTGTAACGGGAGACAACTCTTAAATGCTCAGGATTCGCAAAGTTTTGGTATAGTGTATTGTAACTCTAAAAGAGCTCGGTATTCGTGAAGATTCGGTGATGTATTGTCACGAGAGACCACTCTTAAAGAGCTCGGTAATCGTGAAGATTCGGTGATGTATTGTAACGCGAGACCACTCTTAAAGAGCTCGGTAATCGTGAAGATTCGGTGATGTATTGTAACGGGAGACCACTCTGAAAGAGCTCGGTATTCGTGAAGATTCGGTGATGTATTGTAACGCGAGACCACTCTTAAAGAGCTCGGTAATCGTGAAGATTCGGTGATGTATTGTAACGAGAGACCACTCTTAAAGAGCTCGGTAATCGTGAAGATTCGGTGATGTATTGTAACGCGAGACCACTCTTAAAGAGCTCGGTAATCGTGAAGATTCGGTGATGTATTGTAACGGGAGACAACTCTAAAAGAGCTCGTTATTCGTGAAGATTCGGTGATGTATTGTAACGAGAGACCACTCTTAAAGAGCTCGGTAATCGTGAAGATTCGGTGATGTATTGTAACGGGAGACAACTCTTAAATGCTCAGGATTCGCAAAGTTTTGGTATAGTGTATTGTAACTCTAAAAGAGCTCGGTATTCTTGAAGATTCGGTGGTTACTAAACATAACATAGAAAATTACATGCTTTATCTTCTGAATCATAACATTGAAAACATCCTGTTTCTATGGTCGGGATCATCACATAGAAAATAACATGTTTTAATCGTCGGGATAACTTTATTTCATCTATCAAATGACAAAGTGGGTTAAATATTTCTAACCTGTATGTATGTAGCGTCTTGAGCGCATATTATTGTAAGAAGGAATACGATAGAAAGGATTGGAAAATCGTTTTATTTGCATTTCAGTAAGACGATTTGTTTGAACGACAAAGAAACCCTGTCGTCATGTGTAGTAAAGGAAGATAAAACAGGAGGACTTACACCCCCTTTGCTCCTTCGACGTCATTCCTCCAGTAGTTACTTTTGTTCAAAAACATGTACAAGCTTATGTAATTACAAAGGTAATTTAATAGGGATTTTAGGAAATTATAGGTTCACAAGCTTCTGTATTGCGATTTTGATGTTCTCTATAGCCTTCCATTCAGCCTATGCTTTCATACCGTTGTACGCGGTACACATCGGTATTGACGATCGCCAGTCCACGTATATCATTGCTGTTACCATTCTTGCGGACGGCATTGGCCGTATTGGGATAGGAGCAGTTCTAGATATAAGATGTATCAAACAATATAGAATAATGCTGTACAGCTTAACTTTGATACTTGTCGGAGTGGTGTCTATCACCATACCTTCGGCCAGAACGTTAACTCAGCTCGGGATTGTGTGTTCCTTGTACGGAATTCTGATGGGAGGAGTAATCTCTCAAAAATCTGTCATCGTTGTCGACATCCTTGGAGTAAAGAAGCTGGCAAATGCCTTCGGGATATTATCGTTTTTCCAAGGGATTGGCGTTTTCATTGGCCCGCCTGTTTCAGGTAAGTTGTATCATGTGTTTCTGTAAGAGTGACATCTTACTGCGAAAACGATGCTCGCATTCGCTATAAAGGGATTAAACGTAAACATACATTTTTGTGTGAAGTATTTTGAAACCGAACCGCCACTCCGGTTATATCAGTGAAATCCGATTTAATTTGAAACCTGTTGGCCAGTTCGATTATACAAGTAATTTTTTTCTCATAGTGGGAACAGAAAACTTTTTCGAAAGAAAATTCGGTGAATATTTTTGCTGCCGACTTAGATTTACACTAATTGATTTTTTGACAATTCCAACGGTCCAGGAAATTCCCCTAGTGCTAAATATATCATGTATTGTATTTATTGTCTCGATAATCTGAAAAGTAAATATTCGTTTACTATGTTTAGAAACCGAAACGTCTGAACTAAAAAGAATCCATGAGATGTGTTATGCATATGATTACTTCGCCTGTATTGATCTATTTACAGGATTACTGCGGGACATGAAGGGAGACTACTCTGATGGGTTTTATTTCGGAGGAGGTGCTACCGTCACAGGAGCGTTTATATTTACTATAGCTAATATAATACATATACTTAAAACAAAGCATTTCAACTCAACCTGAACTGAATGGTTTTCATTTAACGATACATGTACATTAAATGTATACTCATACGTGGTTAACTCCTGGCGGTAAAACAAGCTAGATATATTTTGGGTACCGTTATAAAATCTTGCAGACAACATGTAATAGGAAGATTCGATTTAAAGTGATGCTTTTATCGGATTATAATGCTAAATTCATTCCTTATATTTTTTTTGAATGATCAAAAATTGAAAAATAAAATGGTTTGCATCAGAATACAACTTAAAGTTGTGGCATTATTGAACATTTTACATTATATGTGTTAATACACATTAGTATATGACTGTATGTTTTGCTCCTCTCTGATTGGTCGAAACCTCAATCAGAGGTACTGCCAAATCAAAGTGCAATGATTGACGAACACCTGTTTAAGTTTTTTAAATGTCGAATTCCAGTCGCAACAACGACAACACTCCAAATGACAGATCTAGATCAGAGCTCTTTTAAAATGTTTCCCATAACATATACAATACCTTGAATTGTTCAAGGTTAGCCTTCATAAAATGTTCGTAAAACCACTCAGTTAAAACAGAAGCTTTCCAGCACTCGTTTCATTTTTTGAACATTTTCATTTATGTAGCTAAGGGTATAATCATCTACATAATCATAAATAGAAGAATATTATACATATTTGAAGGTACATGTGTCATTAATAGAAATAAAAAAATTCATAGGTCCCAGTATTGAACCCTGGGGGACTCCCCTTAGCAAAGAGACCCAGCCACTTACACCGGTTCCACGCCCGACCATCTGACACCTTTCTCAAGGTAGCTCAACAGGGGGCGTACAGTCTCACGGTACCACCATAAGCGGAAAGTTTCCACAGGAATAGGTCATGGGGGGGCAGTCTGTTATCCAAGGCCCTCTTCCAGTTATACAACACGCGCAGAATTGCAGTCTGTTAACCAAGGCCCTCTTCCAGTTATACACCACGCGCAGAAAGGCAGTCTGTTATCCAAGGCCCTCTTTCAGTTATACACCACGCGCAGAATGGCAGTCTGTTATCCAAGGACCTCTTCCAGTTATACACCACGCGCAGAATGGCAGTCTGGCACCCGTGACTGGACACGTAGGCACACAGAAAGGGATACAATCTGTATATTGGGATAATAACAACTGTTATTGTGTCATGATTTTGAGATTTTTGAAGTAAAACCAATTTTCATGATGTAATACTTACCACAACTTTAGTATAAGGTATTGTTTATGCATATTAGTATGCATAAACAATACCTACACCCATATTTGTAGCCCAAAAAACAAAAGATTCAGATATCCAGACCTCCCTACCGTGATGTAACCCATATCTCGACGACAGAGCCACGGAGTGACCTCCCTTCCTCAAACCCCTTTGATGAATCCCTAAAAGCAGCCGGGATGAGGAGGCAAGGGGAGGAATACAGGGTGAGACTCCATAAAGTTATGGTAAGTATTACATCATGAAAATTGGTTTTACTCCAAAACCTCAATTTTTTTTCAGTAATAATTACCATAACTTTAGTATGATAATTCGTCTTACCGTAGTGGATGCTTCGAATCCAGGCTGACCAGACTGACGGAACAAACTCGAGACATGCTCAAGGTATGGAAAATGTTCAAGGAACCCCCCGAATAAATCCCCGAAAGTAATTAAAAAATGGAAAACCTCCCCGTGAAACGAGCAGGTGTACCACCTTGGTGCCTGCTAGCATATTATTTAAAAATCATTGATTTACTGTGGAGGAACAGCCACAGACTCTGCAACCACCACCGGTCCAAGGGAATACAATCCATCAAAATGAGAAGCCAAGGACCGGAGATAAAAATCCGTGAAGGTAGTCTGTCCGTGCAAGAAAGCCGCGGACATGACCTCCTGATCTCACCTTATACAACGCCCGAACCTGATCATCTGAGTGACCGTAACCGTACTTGATGACCTAACTGATGCATCCTGCTGACCCTGCTAAATGGGCAAGAACAGACGATATCGAGGACCCCGTCCCCGCCCCCTGGTTTTATCGAGGTAAAATTCCTTGACCGACTGGTTCAGAGGAAGTCAGGATTCCCAATCCTTTTAAGAAGGGACCCAGTTGGCGAGGAGAAACATCTGGAGAGGCCTGATGTGAAGTCTCCCTAAGGGGTCCACATCGGCCAGGGCGTTAAGATATCCCAGAAAACTGAGAAACCAACGTACCTGGTCTTGAGACTGGCCGATGGAGGTCAGAGCAAAAGCCCTGGCCTTCTCGAACTTCTCAATCGGTGGAAGGGCGATGCCCTGAACCGTATTGAAACGGTTCCCCAGGAAAACAAAATCCTGGGATGGGCAGAGCGAGACCTTGCCAGGCAAGAGAACCGTCTGCTGAACCGAAGCCTAATTCTGCGGGAGAAGGCCTAAGGTAGCAGAGTACAGTAGAAATGGCTTGATCATAAAAATAAAGGGCATGTCTCAGATAAACATTGATAGCGGATTTATCTTGCACAACACAACTATATATACATGAATATATATATTGTAACGTTATGCCTCTGTACACCTTATCCCCGATGTTTTTAGTGATAGGTAAGAGTTATTTCCCTTGTTATGTTTGTCATTTAGATAGTTAATTGTTAATTACTGGATAATCGTCATGTATAATTTAGGTTTAGTTATTTCAGAATTATAAGCGTATGCACCTTTTACATAATTAAGCATTAGGTTAGTGATAGGTCTTTATGTGCAGGTTTGGACAAGGTTGTAAAATTAGTAAAGTTAGAATCATCTGTGTACTGCTGTATAAGACGGCGGCCGTATGGTGGTCGGGGCGCTCCAACCGTGGCAGCCAGGTCATTGTGTTGCGAGCACGGCTACTCTTTGTAGTACGTGGACCGGCCGGTCCACTTTACACTGAGTTAGCTGGAGCGACAAACCACCATACCCTGCCGAGGGCTGCGACTAGTCAGCCGGTACTACTCCTTAGGGGGCTGCGACCAGTCAGCCGATTCCTATATCTTACCGGGAGCTTTCCTTAGCCTAATAGCCTTGTCCAAACCTAACTATTTCGCCGCCGGTAGGGGAGATTGTACCAGGGGTTCCAGTTTGTGCCAATAAACCTGTTGACTTTCCTTTTGATTTCTTGTTCTCCTTGGCTCGGCCGGGCCGGTAGTCATAACAGAACCCACCCACAAGTGTCCTTAGTGGGGCACGGAAACGTGGCGTGTTTCGGGGCCCGTTCTGCCAACGCTACCAACTGAGGCAGACCCCGCACACGTTACACGTTTTTGGTGGCAGCGGTGGGATGGCTAACCCTGACCAGGAACTGAAATCTCCTAGAATGGCCGCGCTGATGGCAGCCGTGAAAAATGTTTCACTTAAGGAGTCCGCTGGCTTAAACTCTAGCCAGGGGAAGACGGCCTGGAGTACAGCGGAGGGTGATAACCTTCAGCGGGCCATGCCAGCTGCGGAGGCAGCAGTGACTAGTACCTCACTGGCACGACAAGATGAGAAGCCTTCTCAGTCTAGTGACAGCTCTTCGGGTACCCCAAACCCGAGTGTAGATCAAACAGAGTGGAGTACGGAATCCTCCAGAGAGTTACTACGGCTCTTTCGAGGCCAGATGGGCCAGATTAACGCCAGCCTTAGTAAGTTAGAGGGGATGATAGCCAGACCTCCCACGCCAGCTACTTCAGCAGAATTTGAAAGCTCCGGGGAACCTGCTGCGAGATACAACCTGGATGGTGTAGGCAGCAGCGCCGAGCCGAATCCAGCTGGCGTGGTTCCACTTACAGGTCAAACATACAACCCCACCACGGACCAAGTGCTATATCAGACACCAGGGTTACAGCCTTCCAGGAATGCTAGGTCCCGATTGTACCGGGAGGAATCATCGCCAACTGACACATCCAAGTTTAGAATACCAGAGACCCCAGACCTTTATGGATCAGAAAGGGCTTCGTTCGGTAGGCAACACATACACAAGTCTGGTCAACACCAGGTTCCCAATCCCATAGCGGACACCGCGGGAGGAAATAGCATCCCTACAGAATACCTGATAGACACTGTAGCGACAGCGGGTTCAGGATCACACCTTACTCCGAAGCATGCAAGTACGCCATCCGTGACCGCCTGCCAGGCTGGACACGAGGTACAGGCTCCATTGAAGACGACACCAGGGCCATTCCTAAGTCGATCCACTCTATATAAGCCGCACTCATTTGATGGCTCTAGCCCCTGGAGGGAATATCTGGTCCATTTTGAAGCATGTGCTGAATTGAATGGATGGAACGACCGACAACGAGGTCTGTTTCTGTCTGTAAGCCTTAAGGGACCAGCACAACAAGTTTTAGCCAACCTGTCCATGAATGGAAGCCAGGTTCCATACACAGTATTGAGGGACGCATTGGAGCAGAGGTTTGCACCGCCCAACCAGGTTGATCTATACCGAGCCCAGCTCAAAGCCAGAGTGCGGGGCAAGGGAGAGACCCTTCAAGAGTTGGGCCAGGCCATCCGCCGATTGGTTCACCTGGCGTACCCTGGAGCGGGAGTTAGTCTACAAGAGATACTGGGCAAAGAGCAATTCCTTGAGGCCTTGATCGGCAGCGACCTTCGTTTCCTCATCTGGCAACGTAAACCTACCACATTAGATGAAGCTATCCAGGCAGGAGTTGAAATTGAGGCTTTCCAAAGTACAGAGCACCGTGGGCAGTCAGACCGGAAAGCTAGAGCTACACAGAAGCCGGATGTTGCTAATGAGGACATAAGGCTCGAAGATCTGTCAAAGGATGAATTAAGAGAACGTCTTAGATCTGCTCTGTTCACCATGGACAAGGCCAGTCCAAGTAAAGCAAAGCAACAAATGAAACAACGCCGCAAGGAGCGCCACCGCCAGGCTAGGCAGAGAGAAAAGCGTGCCTGTTATAATTGTGGGGAGTTAGACCATTGGATAAAGGACTGTCCAAAGATTAAGTCCTCAACAGACCCAGCTGTTGAGGTGGTAGACCAATCAGATACCAGCCCCCCAAGGGTCAATATCCTGGTGAAGGAAGCTGGCCTCTATGTAGAAGGATCTGTCAATGGAGAATCGGCGAATTTTCTACTGGACACAGGTGCCACAATCTCGATCCTTAGCTCAGCTTTGTACGGCAGCCTGAACCAAAGACCAAGCCTAATGCCAGGGGGAATTCCACTTTCTACAGTAAGCGGGAGCAAGCTGCCAGTTCAAGGCACTGGGCGTTTTGTAGTTCGGCTA